GAGCCATGTCCAGGGGCCTATGAAATGTTTATGGTGGACATCCTAGATCTCGTTGGCCCTCACTACACTGTGCATTAGACATGCTGTAGGACGGGAGCATGTGCAAGCACCCAGGCTGGTTGAACATCAGGACCCTTGTTGGAAACCATTACAAATGTGAAGGCGTCCATGGTAAAGCTCCAACCCAGCTGTGTCCTTTGGCACAGGACTATGTCCAGGCAGCACCCCGGGGACCCAGGTACCAAGGCACCGCTCCCCTCTCAGCCACACGAATCCCTTCTGCCTGGATTTGAGTCTGGCTCCTTCCCTGGGTAGCAGTGTGAGCTGACGCAGTCGATTTACGTGGACGTAGAGAAGACTGATGTCACCACCCCGTGGTCTACGCGTGGGCCTTGAATGTCGTTCTGAGTTCCAGCCCTTCCTGTTGTACATTTGTGGCCTTGGGCAGTTTCAGCTGGCCTGGGGAACGGGGCCTGCTCTGCCCACAGGTTTCTGTGGGACTCAGTGCCACACAGTCGGAGTAGCACTGCAGCCCACCCAGCCTCAGTAAGTGGTGGACGGCCGAGTGGACACGCACTGCCCACTGCCAGTCAGCACAGCAGAACCACGGCCTCCCTGAATGTTCTGCTTCCTCCTCCCCCTCGCTTCAGGGAGGGTCACAGGGATTCTCTGGGGTGGGTTGGCCCCAGATACTAGAAATTTGGTTCAGATTTAAAATATTGGAAGTGACAAAACACCAGTCAAACCAAAGCGTGAGACGTCCTGTAACATAACCCACAGTGTCCTCCACAGCGGCAGGCCACGCTCCTTGATCATGACAGCCTCGTGGCGCAGGGGCCTGAGGTGGCTCCCAGACAGGGGGTGCTGCTCTTGGGAAACCGGTGACATCTGAACAGGGGGATCCGTCTGCAGTGGTGTGTGTGCCTAGCTTCCACCCCAGGGAAGGTGGGCGAGGGGCACTTGGGGGACTCATCGTGCCATTCTCTGGTGTTCTTCTATAAGTCTAAAATATTTCAAAGTAAGAATTTAAAAGAGATAAAAAAATACTAAATTCTTGAAGATGCCCACTTTTAAAAAATTCAAGATTAACCTCCAACTTAAAATAGTAAATAGAATTTACCCGTGTTTCTTTCCAGCACTGTCGCAGCGACCTGTTCGACCGACCCTCTTTTTCTTGCTTGCTTTGTAGACAAAGTTTACATGGGTCCAGGACAGCTGTATCAAGATCTGCAAAACCTGCTGCACGACCTGAACGTTGTGGGCCAGATTGCTCAGCTGATAGGAAACCTTAAAGGGAGCTATCAGGTAGGTGGGGCGCACCCGAGCTCTGTCGGGGGTGTGGGTGTCTGCAGGTCTGCCATGGCGACTGCACTCCCGACTCTCCGCGTGGCCTGTGGTGCCTTTCCCTTGATTGGGTGGCGGGGCTCCGGTGTAGCTCGTGTGCATCTAGCAGTGCACCAAGGTCAGGTCTGCTCGCCGTGCACGCTGGTCCACCCTGCATGTCCTACTCAGGTGGGGCGCTTTGGGCTTCCCTGAATGTTCTGTGTTGCAACTTGGCTTTTCCTCCTCCTCCTCCTCCATATTTTTTAAACGCTTTTAAAATAAATGTGCTTCTGGGTTCCCTCTGTAGAACTTAAACCAGTCCGTAGCCCATGATTGGACATCAGGTTTACAAAGACTGATTCTGAAGAAAGAGGAAGAAATCAGAGCTGCTGACCGCTGCAGAATTCAGCTACAGCTCCCGGGAAAGCAGGACAAGTCAGTGACATCAGAGAGCCTTCCTGGGCGGGGTGGGTCTCTGTGGGGGGGGCTGTGTGCTCTTGGCTGGTGCCTGGTGAAGACGGGCGTGTGGCGCGCCTCTGTAGAGTGTGCATCTGTTACTCCTGGCAGGTCTGGGCGGCCCACTTTCTTCACGGCTGTGTTCAACACGTTCACGCCTGCCATCAAAGAGTCCTGGGTCAACAACTTGCAGATGGCCAAGCTCGCCCTGGGTAAGATATGGCTCACTGAAGCTGACCTGGGTGTGCTCGAGAAAGCCACGCATCCTGCTGGTTGTCCTCTGTGGACCTTTCTCTGCCGAACTCCTGTCTCAGAGGATAAAATCAGAAAGACAAAGAGACTTGGTGATAGTCCCCCATTGGCCTGAAGGGGTGTTTTCAGACGTGTGTGATCTTTAAGAAGTGTGAGTGATGATTCAGGGGTTGCAGGAAGGAGGCTCAGGCTGCCCTTGGAACCGGACTCCTGGCGCCCAGCTTTTGAGCATGAGGTGGTCCAGTGTTGGGGCCATGGTCAGAGCGCCGGCCTGGTATGGGCATCTCCCAGGAGCAGGCGCCGCCCGGGCTCTTCTGCCTGCCTGCTGTCCCCTGTGGCGACACACGAGTCCTGAGGGCCTGCCGTGGATCTGCATGGCTTGATGACTATTTTCTGGTTCCTCTGTCCCTTGGCCACTCATGTGGCTCACCACACAGACCTGCTGTGCAGACACTGGGGTGTAGATGTGTGTGAGCTACTCCTCCAGATGAGACTGTCAGAACCAAGCAGAAGGGACACCTGGTCTGCAGGTGGACCCTCATCCCCTGGGGAGCTGGGGGGCGGGAGGCAGGGCCTTCCTGCTGTGGTGGGGCTGTACCCAGGGCAGACGGCCCACTGCTCCCTTTCTCCTGAGCTGGCGGTGTGCCAGGTTGGGCTCAGAGTGACCACACATGGGAGACGGCCACTCTGAGGGAGGGAGTGGATGTGAAGATCTTTGAGATGGTTCTTCAAAGCCAGGACGGACCCTTAGCTGCAAACGTGTCTTCCTGGTATCGTCCTCCTTCACCCGCAGTGTCAGCCCCACCCCATCCCTGGTGTGTGACGGCGGCCCTCCAGGGGACTTTGAACATGGAGGGTGAAGGAAGCAGCCTGAGGGAGAGCGCAAGGGCACTCGGCAGGCGGGGCTGGGGCTCTCGCTCTCTGGGACCCCGAGTGCTGTGCCCGCTTTAGGAAGAGGAGGTGCTGCCACCCCGAGCAATGCTGGTGGCTCAGGCTCCTGAGCAGCAGAACTGGGGTGTCGCGTGGCTGCTCCTGGGACTGAGCGCCACTCTCTGAATGTAACGCAGAGGAGGAGAACCACCTGGGCTGGTTCTGCGTGGACGATGAGGGCAGTCACACCAAGAAGGAGACGCACCCTCTCCTCGTGGGACACATGCCGGTGACGGTGGCCAGGCAGCCAGAGTTCAAGGTACATGCGCTGGGTGGGCTGCCTCTCCTGCGGGAGTACCCGGGATCGCTGTGAGGGTGTGAGGGTGTGGTGGGGCAGTCCTCTGGGCCAGCCACCGCGGCTGCTTCTCCCGAGGGTGAGTCAGAGATGTCTGAGAGGACTCCGAGGTCGAGTCTCGGCTCTTGTCCCCAGGGTGGCCCTGCAGCTCCCTGGAGTGGGAGGGCCTCTGGACGGCACAGGACTGCACACTGCTGGTGCCAGGCGGGCCTGGTGCCCAGGGAAGCCCGCGAGCGCTCAGCTCGTCAGGTTCCGCTTCCTGGGCTCGGCAGGCCGTGTTCCTGAGCGCTGGGGGCTCCTGACCTGCCTTTCCCTTTCCCGTGGCTGGTCCCCGGCCACGCTTGGCCTGAGCGCTCAGGGTTCACTTCTACAATGTGAGCACAGGGCTGACAGTGGCCTGGGTCTGCTGGGCTCCCTCAGCAGGGGTCCTGCTGACCAGCATGGAAGGTGTTTCGGAACAAAACTGCATCTGCACCTGTGGACAGATTTAGCTCCTGGTCTTTGTTCCCTGGACAGTAGAACAGGAAAAGCATTCACGTGGTGTGCTGTCAGCCCCTGACCGCCGTGCCCAGAGGCCTGGCACAAACCACCTAGGGGAGGTTTCATGGGTCCAGTCTGTGGTCAGCTGAGGCAGAGCACAGGGCAGGAGGGGTGTCCAACAAAAGCAACTCCGAACATGGCCTCAGGGAGCAGAGAGCTCTGTCCCCAAGGACCCACCTGCTACTGCCCACCTGCCTGCAGCTGCCACCCAGCCATCCCCTGTCAGGGGATTAGTGCCCAGTAGGGTCAGGCTTTCCTCCCTTCAGTTCTGAACGCTCCTGCACTATCTCCCGTGAGCCTTGGGGGACACTTCATGTGTCGACCAAGACGTGTGGAAGTCACGTGGCGTCAGTGTCACAAGTGCCTGAGCAGATGTCAGGCGTGGAGGCTGCGCTGGGCTGTCTGCCTGGGTGAGGAGGGAGGGCTGGGCCTCAGTCGCCCGCCCCTGCTGTTCTGACTGTGAGAGGCAGGACCCGAGCCTGTGGTGGTGTGAAACTGGGATCACCAGCTGGGGTCCCCTGACGAGCTGTGATTGGTGTCTTCAGATCGAGTGTGCTGCTTATAACCCCGAGCCTGACTTCCATCATGAAGGCCAGCCAGAGCCGTCCCCCGCGGCGCGTGGCTTCCTGTGGGTAAGGGTCTCTATTTGTACTGCACGTTCACCTAGAATCGCGCCCACAGTCGTGGGAAGCTCAGCTTTGAGCAGCTAAGAAGAGTGTCGGTCCCCGCGAGCCCAGGTGACGGCCACACACGGAGCCTTTCTCTGATGGGCGCTGATGACTGGGGAAAGATGAAATTCTGGGAATTAAAATGTTGATTTCTGCCCTTTTCCATGTAAAACTTTTACAAGATCTGATGTCATCCAGACAACTGATCTGACTAGTGTAAGAGCCATTTTGCTGTTTATTGCCTGTGGGTGGTTAGATTAGAAGGACTTTCCTTGTTTCCAGACATTGGTGGCTTTTTACCCTGGAGACTTGGCCGTTGGAATTAATTTGTTCCAAGTGAAACGCAGCATCTAAAATTACCCTGCATTCGCAGTGGGCCTTCCTGGTTTGTGCAAATGGAGGACAGTCCTCAGGCGCAGGGACTCAGGTCCACCCTCAGCCCGAAGCCCGGCTCTTCCCAGCTGGACTGTGGTCCAGGGTCATGCCTTGCTCGCTACAGGCAGAGCTCCTGCCCGAGTGGTGTTCCTAGCCGTGCTGACAGCGCAGCGGCCGGGCTGGCTGGCATTTCATAGCATCCGTGAAGGAGGGCAGACGCGTCATTGCCTTGGGGTGCAGGTTTTCCGCCCACAGGGATCTGGGCTGGCTGGGGGTTTCCTCCTCTTCTGGTGACACCCCACTCCCCAGGGCTGGCACAGGGACACCGCAGTTGGTCTTCCCTCCCCGACAGGGCAAAGGAGGGTGTCCTTGTAACGTGGAATAGGAGGCCTAAGAACATGCTCAGATTGGTGGAGAAGAAAGGGGTCTGTCATCAGGGTCAGCCTGGCTCTCTGGGACTGGCCCTGAGTAGGGACCCGTCGTTGCCCCGTACACAGCTGGACTGGAGCTGCAGTTGGAAGACCGAGTCTGCCGCGTACTCTCGGGCACTCGCCGTAGCAGGTGCACAGATGCCCTTCAGGTGCAAGTCTTCAGAGGGCTGCACGCATGGGGGACATGAGAAGGGATGGCCCGCCCTGGGACATAGTCTTTTAGTTTTGAATCTTGTTTTCTTAGCTGAGGGCTGTGAAACTCCAACGCTAACTTACTTAAGATGGATGTGATTTGCCCTTCAGGACTGTGTGAATAGGTCTTTGCCCTCGTGTGGTGACGAGTGGGTGGGTGAACACAATACCTTTATTTACTTTAATGTGGAGCTGAGGATCGAAGCCAGTGCTGAGCAAGCACTCTACCACTGAGCTGCCACGGCAGCCCTGGGTGTGTGGTTTTTAAGGCATGTCTTTTTAAAGACAAAGTTATCCCCTGTTACTACATATTTAAAGACCTAACTCTGTGGAAGGGCCAGGGGCCTGGGAGCAGCTGGTTCAGAGGCAGACTGCTCTGTGTGGGGTCGATCCTCACAGGAGGCTGCCTTTCTTCTGGGGTTCCCGGGGCTCCCCTGCACCCTCACTCTCTTTCTCTTAACTCCCTGATCAGATTGGAAGTTGTAGTGACCAGATGGGTCAGATTGCCATTGTCTCCTTTCACAACTCCACCCCCAAAGTCATCGAGTGCTTCAACGTCGAATCCCGCATCCTGTGTATGGGGTACATTCCTGCCGAGGAGCAGCAGCGGGAGCCCAGCACCATTGTGGACCCTGAGGCCCAGGCCACCAGAGCATCTGAAGTGCCCACCATCTGTGTGGGCACGGAGGAGGGAAGGTAGAGGTCACGTGGGGTGTGGCAAGCTGTGCCCAGACACCTAGGGCCCATCCTGGGAATAGGCGTTGGCGTGAGCGTCGGGCAGTAGGCGGGAATGACGAGATCCGGGGTGGGGTCTCTGCGCTCTGAAGTCACCAGTGATTGGGCCCCGGGAATTATTCTAGGAGACCCCAAAGAGCAATGGAAGTTTCACCCCTGCTGTTTGTCCCTAAGGTACTCATTTTTATCATGCTTTAAAAGCACACCACTCTTGCATTTTGGAATAAAAAAGCTATTTTTCGGTGTTATGATCGCATTGAACGTTGACATCCTTTAATGGAAAGTTAAAATGATTTTCCTGATGTGAAGTTAAGCCATAGGAAGATCTAATCATTTTTATGACCTAGAATTTCTATTTTAAATAAAAGACAGAAATCAGGGTGCTGCAGACCTGTTGGAAATGCAGCCGGTGTGTCTCGGAGC